CCCCCCCCCCCAAGTTAGGGTTAGGTTTCCCAAGGTTGCATCACTGTATACATCTGCCCCTCAATAATTAATATTTGATAGGATGCCACCTATCTGTCATATTAAAAATCAAAGTTGTTCTTGCTGTGTTGTATTCAAAAGTGAATAGCCTGACTTATGCTGTAAACCTTGCAGATCGCAATGGATGCGATTTAGATGCTGTTTGTTGACAAAGGCCGAGGAATCTTCTTGACACCTCCTTTGTCAATGCACTTGATGAACTCCTTCAGCTCTAGCAAAGGGCTGAGGGATGTACTCAATGGTTTGTTCAGGTCCGCTGTGGAACCTATCAATGTCCTGTTGGACAGTGTTTGTGATGGGGGTGGGAGGGCGTGTATGAGAGTAGGGGTGATAATACTGCTGCTGATCTCCGGGTGTATACCTAAGCATTGTCCTCCTGCTTTGCAGCCAAGGAGGAAAAGGTCTTGAGGGGGCCACGCATTCTCTTCTATCTCCTTCTGAGATTGATGACGAACTTACACTGCTCTCAGAACTGATTGCTGTAGAGGAGGCTATTGGATCCTCCAATATTTCTCCTGTTGCTGCCACGTACTTGAGAGGCGATTCCTCTTGCTCAATCTGTTCTAGTCCTTCTGCTAGGCCTAGGAAATCAGGACAAAGGTGATTGTCTTCATACATGGGGGGCACAGGTAAATATGCTGGTGGTGGTGGCAAATAGGGAGGTGCTGCTGTCCTCACTATCTTGTTGGCAAAAGGTGATATTACTGGTGTGTGGGTCAAATCAAAGTTGTTTGGGTCACCACCTGATTCTTCTGTTTGGGCCCTTTCAGCTACTCCTGTGATCAAATTGTTCTGAACCACAGCTAAGATAAGCTTGGCTTCAGGCCCTCCTACTCTGTGCCAGAGTTCTTCTTTGGATTGGCTTCTGGCGATCTCGACTAACTCTGGTGATTCTGCTACTCTGCGCAGAAACCACTGAATGGGGATGGGTTAGCGAGGTGATGAGGGTGTAGGTGAATCACTTGCCTCGACTTCTTCTGCTACGCTC